GATTTTGAAGGTGTGCTAAGGACAAAGAAATTAACTCTTGGCTGAGAGGATCACATCTAAACTGCCTCCAGCTTGGCATTCCAGATGCTGCCCTCCCCTTGACCTTCACACATTTATGCTCCAGCAGCATCCAGGTCCTGTGGGTTTCCAGGTGATGCCAGGTTAATTCTCACCTCCAGCCTTTGCTCATGTGGTCACTTCTGCTTGCTCGCAATGCCCTCGCCCCCTTCTCCCCCTGTTAGCCTTTTAATTTCAGCTCAGTCGGCACCTGCTCTGGGAGACCTTCCCTGAGGGCCCCTCACGGCACCCAGCTCCCCAGGGGAGGCTGTGTGCCTGAGTCCTGTACTCTTCCCCCCAGTGCCCCCCATGGGCACGGAGGTTTGCAGGAGCCCCCTCGATGCTGCTGCATTGAGGGCGGCGGGGGTGGTGGGGGTGGTGGTTAGGGGCTGGGAGGGGGGTCCCTCTTTGGTCACTCCTGAACTGCCTAGCACAGGGCCTGGCTTAGTTGGGTGCTCAACAAACTTCTGACTGAAAATCCATTTTATTTATGGCACGAACATTAACACAGAAACGAGTCACCCCAACAAATGAAATTTGTCAAATTGTCACATCCCTGCTCTGTTCCCCCACCCAGTTTCGGTTTTTTGCATCATTGTGAAACAGCTAAGCACAGTCCTAAGATCTGTATTTTCACTCAGCTGTGAAATACAGTATTTCCCCAAATTAAAAAAAAAAAGTTCAGAAAATAATCTGTTGAGTTGATCTAACAACTGACTGTCCTAATTTGGGAACTTTGACTCTTCCAGTGTGATGAAGTTTATTCTATTCCCATTCAAAGAGCAAATATTTAAAATAAAAGTGTCCATCTGCTGACACTTTTAATCCAAATTCACCATTTCACTTGGTGAAATGTATATAATCTCTCATCACAGTGTAAATAGAAAGATCTGGATTGGTAAATTCTGTGATGTGTTCCTGGGGTCATAAGATGTTCCAACACATAAAGTAAATAATTCTGATCCTGAGATGTTATCCTCAAGAAATCATGCAAACATTGGAAAGATTCCGCATTTATTTAACTGGATTAAGCCTTCAGAATTGTAGCCTGCACTACAGTTTTGCACTCTAGTCTCTGGATGATTCAGGATCCAGTCAGGTTTTACCTTCTTTCTTGCCATATATCCCCTGATGACAGCTGTTCTCTCTCCTCCTCCCTGAAGCCTCTTTCATGGGGTGTCACCATCTCCAGGAAGCCCTCACCCCTCCTTGAGGTCTGGGCCAGGTAGGCCAGGAGCCAGGAGCCAGAGTCGGTCCCAGGGTGCCAGGCTGCCAGCAGGAGAATGCTGCCTCACTTGTCCACCCTGTAACCTTTTCCCTCCATTGGCAACATTAGTCACCAGTGGGGCCGAGTGGCCTTGCCCCCCACCTCCCCCACCCCATGTTCTGGCTTCACTCACCTAGGAGCCCCACATTTGGTCCATATCGCTTATGTCCTCAAGGGCCAGGGATCTGGCCTTGGTTGACAGAAAATAATGACAAGTCTCCTATACCCCCAATCCTGGCTTGCTAGAATTTTCCTGTATACTTACCCATTCAGGTGCCCCAGAGATGGTGTCTGATTGTGTACAGAAAGAAGAGGTTTGTTCATTCATTCGTTCATTCATTCATTCAACATTTATTAGTGCTTGTACTGTATCTGGTCCTTCTCTGGGCACTGGATCTGCTCAGGAGAGGGAGGTACCTGCCCTCAAGGAGCTTGCAGGCTTAAGGCGCAGACTGATGAATAAAAAAGGTGAGAACCAGACTAGCCAGAGTTGACACTTTCTAAATGCTCTCTCCATATTGGACAGGAATGGCAAGGTAGCCTGGTTAGAACTACATGTTGGGAAGCACAGTGTCTTTTTTGGGAAACAGGGAGGAGCAGCCCTCACTTAGCTGGGGGTTGACTCCTGAGCAAAGTTTTAAGACTGAGCAGGAGTTAGCCAGCCGGAGGAGAAAGCCATGTCCCTAGTAGACCTAACAGCATGGACAAAGGCTTGGCACGGACTCAAGTTGGTTACTGCCCAAAGAAGCCCTGAATTTTGAGACCTCCTTTGCGTATTTTTTGTGGGAGGTGGGTTTGTCACAAAATAGTGAGGAAGGAAAACTCATCTTTCTTCCCTGGCTGGAAGGGAAGCACCAGCTCTAGAGGAGGTTGACTTTGGATTAAATCCAGCTTTGCCTCTGACCAGCTGTGTGGCTTTGGGCAAGTCACTTCACCCCTCTGAGCCTCAGTTGCTGCATCTTCCCCCAAGAAACATACACTGCATCACTCAGAAAAAAAACACAGAATTCAATGAGATAATGTATGTAAAGTTTTAATACAGGGTTTCTCAACACTCTTGACATTTTGGCCTGGATGCTTCTTTGTTGTGAGAGGCTGTCCTGTGTACTGTAGGATGGTTAGCGGCACCCCTGGTCTCCACCCATGAGATGCCAGTAGCATCTCTCACCCAGTCTGTGACAATTAAAATATCTTCAGACATTGCCAATGTCCTGTGGGGGGCAAAGTCACCTTAGGTTGAGAACCACCAGGCTAATACAGTGCCTGGTATGGAAAAGAGGCTCAATAAATGCTTATTTTCTTTCCCCTCCCAGTCTGGAGGGAGCACTAACTCTTGTCCTGTTGGAGCAGGAAGGGCCTTTAGTGATCACTGTGCAAATAGAGAAACAGGGCTCAGAGAGAAGTTAGCAACCTAATGTCACACAGCATGTTACTGGCGGAATGAGTTGGGTAGAATAGAGACAAAGTAGCCTTGATGAGGGGACCCCAAAACACAGTGGTTTAAATAAGCTCGCTCATTGCTTTACTGCCACAGGGCCCAGAGATGGGTAGTCAGGGGCTGTTGGAGCACCTCTGCTCTCTTCAATGAGGGCTCCACCTCTAGATCTCAGGGAGTTACTCTACTTACTCCCATTTCTAATGGAAGAAAAGAAGAGAAGGTCAGGAGGAAGGGGAGGGAATGCCCTCTTTGTCTGTTTTTAAGGAAGCGTGATGCCCATCATGGGGCTTGAACTCATGACCCTGAGATCAAGGGTTTCAGGCTCTGTGGACTGAGCCAGTGAGGTGCCCCTTTCTTTCAAAGCACAAAGTGGAATTTGCCGCAATACTTCTGCTGATATTACATCGGCCAGATCTTAGTCACATGGCTACTGCAAGGGAAGCTGGGAAATGTAGTCCCTGGCTGGGGGCCATGTGCCCAGCTAAAACCTGGGGAGGGAGAGAAGAATGATCCCTGGGGGGACCGTTGGCAGTCTGGCCATAAAGACAGGGTAAAAACCCAAGATCTCCCAGGACCATGATTCTCTAGACCACATAAGGGCTTTCATCAGTCACTCAACAAACACAGGGCGGTCATAACAGCAATTTCAGCATGTAGAGGGGACACTCGTCTGGGCTCACTAGCTGTCAGGCCCCAGTTAGACACTTCCCACCCTCACAACAGCTCAGCGAGCGAGGTTTTTTCTGCTAATTCCATTTGACGGGTAAGAAAACTGAGATTTCCAGAGGCTAAGTAACTTGCCCAAGGTTTCAGGGCTAGAAAGCGGCAGGGGCCGTGTGGAGCTCAGAGGTGCCTAAGCCCCTAGCCCTCGCCCTGTGCCCAGCAGCCGCTCGGCACACCCTGAACTGAGGTCTTCACAGGATTGCTCGGGAGAGCTGGTCTGCGGCCCCTCCAGGCCACCCCAAGAGCTCAAGGGACCTCTGAGGTGACTTGACCGTGAGGCAGCCTTCTTCAGGGGGAAAGCCCTTGTGGAAAGGGCGGCAGCCTTCTCCCTGCAGGCAGAGGGGAGACTGGGGCCTGCATGTAGGCAGGAACAACAGCCTTGAGAGGCTCTCATATGTCTTGGGCAGAAGAAAGTAGCGCCTGCCGGGGCCTGGGGAGGCAGCCAAGGTGCCTGGGTGACCGCATGTCAGCTCTCTGAGCAAAGGTTCTCATAGTCATGGGTTCAAATCCTGGCTCTGCCTCTTGCTCACTGTGTGACCTTGATGAGTCAGTTTGCCTCTGTGAGCCTTAGTTTCCTCATCTGTTGAATGGGGTTAAGAATAGTATCTCCTGGTGTTGTTAGGAATTGGTGAGGTCCTACGTGCCAGCAAAGGCAGTGCTCCATGATGGTGGTGGTGTTAGCCTCAGCAAAGTGATGCTGTCTGGACCACGGCCAGGCACAGCCTGGGGAGGCCAGAGAGGAGCTGGTCTCCATGGGATGGTTGAGCACCCTCAAGGTGCTTGGCTTCACCAGGCAGGCAGGGCCCTTGTGCAGCCTGGCCAGTGGGCCCACAGGCTCTCAGGGCTGGGTGGGTGAGCCCTGGTGTCGCGAGACCATGGGTGTCCTCAGGTGCTGCTTGAATTGATCTCCGTTGCAGGGGAACCCTAGCCTTTCAGAGGGCACAGAGGGGCAGGCTGGGAAGTAGCCCAGGCCCCTGACCCTATGTTACTCTGCCCTATACTCCTGAGCCCACAGACCCAGTGTCCCCCATCCTCCATAAGACCTCTCAGAGTCCCTGAGGACTCCCTGAGGGGAAGGGAGGAAAGCCCTGGTTGGGGTTACCCAAAGTGTGACTGTCCATTCCTACTGCCTGCCTGGCCCAGAGTAGGCCCTCACTGAATGCCTGCTGAGCATGTGAATGGATGAACCAAGGGCCTGCCACTGCCACCAACTGGCTGTGTGACCCTGGGTCAGTCTCTTGCCCTCTGTGTGTGTCAGTGTTCCAATTTGTAAAACAAGCTGGATCGTCCCAGAGGTCCCTTCCAGCTCCCACCCAGGTCTCTACCACCTAGTTGTGGTAGAGAATGGTGGTCTCTACCACCATTCCCAATCCCAATGGAGGGAATAAAATGGGCCACACAAGAGGGTGCCGAAGTGGTCTTTAGTTGCAGGGGGTGGAGGGTGGTGAGCACAGAGGCTGCTGTACCGACTTCGAGGAGGAGTCTCTGGGAGAGCCCCTTCTGGCTGCACTCAGGCTATCGCTCTGCTTGGGGCGTGGCTGCACCTTCCCAGATGGAGATGCTACAAGGGACACTGGGCATCGATCTGGAACGAGACCACAGACAATCAGACACTGCTGCCCAAACTCTTCCCTACAATCCCCTGCAGGGTCTAAGGCCTTGAAGAGGGGCCTGACACCTGTGGTTTGGGGTTTGTCTCTGGCACCTGGCCCTTACTCTCCTCTCCCCTCACCTTAGGAACAATGGCAGATGTGAAAAGACTGATCAGAGGCCAAGACTGGAGCCAGGGTTCAGGGCTCAGTATAGGATCAGGATCATGGATCAGTCTGAGATCAAGGTCAGGGCTCAGTCTGTGACTGATGTCATTGCTCAGTAGATCACTGAAGTCAAAGCTCAGTCTGTGAGCAGGATCCAGGCTCAGTCTGGGTGTGTGAAAAAGGCTCAGGGTACAGAATGTGACCAGGATCAGGGCTCAGGCTGGGGCCAGGGTCACAGCTCAGTCTACAACCAAGATTAGGGCTCAGCCTGCTGCTAAAAAAAGAAGAGAAGCTGAGTCTTGCTTTGGCTTCACCACAGGTACCTGTGGAGGAGCCTCATCCTCTGTGAGGGCTCTTTACTGATGGCCTGGATACTTGTCTGTCTGCCTTTCCCTCAGGACAATGAACTCCAGGAAAACAGGGTCCTGGTCAGTTGTCACCAATAAATTCTCCAGAGCTCCGAGCCTATTTGGAACATAGCAGGTGCTCAAATATTATTGGCAGAAAGAAGGACTGAAGTAAACATAGAATTAAATATAGAGTGTTGGGGCGCCTGAGTGGCTCGGTCAGGTAAGTGTCTGCCTTTGGCTCAGGTCGTGATCCCAAGGTCCTGGGATCGAGCTCAGAGGGGAGCCTGCTTCTCCCTTTCCCTCTGCCCCTCCCACCTCCACTCATTCTCTCTCTCACGCTCTCAAATAAATAAAATCTTTGAAAAAAAAATAGAATGGCGGCTTGTGACAAGTACTCTGAAGGCCAAGAGTAGACGGTTTTGAGGGAGAATAGGATCAACCTTTTTTTAGAACCTGAAGGTTGAGAAGTACGTGGAGGTGAGGGGAATGGTGTTCTAGGAGGCCAGACGAGCGTGTGCACAGGTCTGGAGGTGGGGAAGAACTTGTTTGAGGCCCAGAGCAAAGGCCAGGGTGAGGGCAGTGATGGGAGGGTGGGGCCGGAGCACGCTGAGCCCAGACGGCGGTGGGGAGTGCTTGGGCTGAGCGGGCTTGGGCAACAGAGTGGAAGGCCATTTCACAGATGTGGACACTGAGACCCAGAGCGGCAGGATGAATTCCCTGGGGCTGCAGACAAGGCCGTATCCAGCAGGGCTCAGTATAGGATCTGATTTACCTGTCCATTTATATCCCAGCCTTCCCCAATAACATCACGCAGTAGAGCCTTTCTTTGGTTTGGCGAGCTGTGATCAAATCCCTTGAGGGAGTAGGGTAGAGTGACCTCTGCTCATGGCCTTCGGGGCTGAGAGCCGAGAACCCAACCTTGTTTCCCCCAAAGCCAACCTGCCCCGGCCTTCGACTTCAAGACCGTTCTCCTCCAACAGCCACCTCCAGGGTCACCCTTCCTCCCCTCACCCTCTTCCTCCACCAGACCTGCCCTTGCAAGCACACTGTTTAGGAAGTAGATTTTTGTGGATTGACAGGGATCAGTGGTTTAAATGGAGAGGATTCAGTTTGCAATATCTCGTTTCAGGAATTTTCCAATGAATTGAGGACTCTCTGGGGACAATTTGAAATCAGAGCCCATGGTAAGCATTTACTTCTCCTCCTCCTCCCACATGGAGGCAAGAAGGAAAATACAATTTATTATTATTATTACGGTTATTGAGGGATATAACATAATGATAAAGGGGTCAATTTTTCAAGAAGCAGTAACAATCCTAAATGTGCTGCACCTAACAACAGCACTTCAGAAAGCAGGAAGCAGAATTGACAGAGCTGCCGAGTGATCGGAGGCCAACACTCCTGTCTCAGGAATGGAGAGAACAGGAAGTCAAAGTCAGCATGGGTATTATTCTCACAAAGGGCTGAGTGTGTGCCAGGCTCTGTGCTAAACACTCGTATTTTCCCAGATGGTCGGCTCAACAGCCGGTGAGGAGACATTATTGTCACCTTCGGGTTACAGATGGGAAAAATGAGGCTCAGAGGGGCTAAGTTGGTCACAAAGTTCTAAGTCGGTAGCTGATATTTGAACCAAGGTCTGTCTGACTCCAGAGCCTACACTCTTTTGCCACATTGTGCCACCTCATGGGGACAGGAATAGGGCTGAAGCCAGGGGATCCCCAACTCCTCTGAGAGCCCAGCTCTGCTGAGATGGACCAGCCTTACCTGTCCAGCACGGTGCGTGAGATGCTGTCTGGGTCACTGCTGCATTTTCCTATGATCACTCTGAGGGCGCCAGTCTGGGCATCGACTGCAACTCTGACATCAGTCAAGAGGTCCAAAGAGGCCTTCAGGTCGACCACCTGGCCAATGACAGGCCTATAGGAAATAAGATTCCCAGTGAACAGAGGTCTAGAAGGCCCACTAGGGTTCTTCCGCCTCCGTGGATCTTTAACTCTCCAGCTTGTCTATGGATAATGTCAGCACCGTCTGGATTCCCAATTAACATTTATGTTAAGGGCTTCTTTGCCTGGCCACATGGATTTGGTTCGTATGACTGTTTTATAGAGCACCACCCTAATAACAAAAATAAGAATAATAGTTGGCATCTATTGAGGGCAAATTATATGTTAAGCATTTCTAAAAAGCATTTTTTCGGGACACCTGGGTGGCTCAGTGGGTTAAGCGTCCGACTCTTGATTTCGGCTCAGGTCATGATCTCAGGGTCCTGAGATTGAGCCCCATGTGGGGCTCCCCACTCAGCGGGGACTCTGCTGGAGGTTCTCTCTCCCTCTCCTTCTGATCCTCGCCCCCTGCCCCGTCTCTCTAAAACACATAAATCTTTGGAAAAAAACCCATTTTTTCCTGGATTAATCCATGTCATCGTTATAGCAATACCATGAGGTAGAAGTACTGTTATTATCTTTATTTTCAAAATGGGGAAACATCGGTCTAGAGAGGTTAAGTAACCATCCCGAGATCTCATGGCTAATGAATGATGGAACCCCCGTGTCCTCAATTTATCTTCTTCCACACTTGCTCATTTTCCTATCTCTCTATCTCTTTTAAAGTAATCAAAATACTTTAAAATTACGTTTTTCACACATGCCCTTCATTTATATACTGTGCACTACTCTATGTGTTTAGCTATCATGGTCACTGCTATTTAAAGAGAATCTCAAGAGACGAAATAATGCTGGAGGAAACTTTGCCAGAGTTATAAATGCTCATGTCTTCTCAGGTTTTCAAATTTTACAATTAGATAAATGTTATGATTTCAGAAATATTTAATTAATGAAGGATTCTTTCCAGAGAGACTTGGTTATGGCCAAAGTTCATTAGAACATTTTATTTTATTTTTTATTTTATTTTTTTTAAAGATTTTATTTATTTGAGAGAGAGAGAATGAGAGATAGAGAGCACGAGAGGGAAGAGGGTCAGAGGGAGAAGCAGACTCCCTGCTGAGCAGGGAGCCCGATGTGGGACTCGATCCCGGGACTCTAGGATCATGACCTGAGCCGAAGGCACTCGCTTAACCAACTGAGCCACCCAGGCGCCCTCATTAGAACATTTTAAAGCTTCAGATTTTAGAGCTGGAAAGGCCCCTTCATGTACAGATTAGGACACTGAGGCCCAAGGCCACACGGTAGCATGGGAAAGAGCCCGATTCTGGTTTGGAGATCCATTGGCCGTGCTGCACAGCCTCTCCCAAATCCCAGATTCTAATGTATACTCACAGGGCCAGGGTGACATTAGCGACGATGGGGACCCTTATGTTAACGCCTTCGCCATCAGGAGTCAGTTCAACTTTGATTTTCAGGATGCGGGAGTTAATGATGTTCAACCTGTGCGAAAACCACAATTTCCCTTCGTCATTCCTCATGCCAGCCAGGGGCTGAGCGCTTCTCTACACCAGCATCAGGCTGAACATTTGGGCCTCACCAGCCTTGCCTTCTCTTTGGCCTTCACAATAGCCCCGTTCAGAGGTTTTATCCTCTCCATGTTATGGCCTGGCACACGGAGGCTCAGACAGACGTAATTTCCCACAGAGATTCCAGGGAGAAATAAGTGCCAGAGTCCGAATTTGAACCCGGAACCGTTTGATTCCAACCTCCCCGTGTGGAGCCAGCCGTGTGGTATGAACTCGTCTTCTCCATCCTGAGGGGATTCAGACTTTTATCCTCAGCTACATTTGGAGAAGAAAGACTTACTCCTTGGAAAAGGGACCTCAGGCACCAGCAAACAGGTGGAGGTAAGGATTAAGAGGCCCTTTACCCTGATCCTAAAATTACATAATATGGAAGCCCAAACCCATGAGATGCCCAGATTGGCCCTGCAGCCCTGCCTCTAATTTGCTCAAGCCCTGATGAACCTGGCCTCAGACCGCCTTGACTCGGTGGGGAGGAACAAGGTTTATCAAACTTTTTGACTTTGACCCTAAATACACCTTCCCAAAGATGTGTGTTCCCTTTTCTTGGAGCAAAGATCTCCACCTTGAAGCGTCAACTCACCCCAAAGTCTCATCCTTAGCTGGAGAGATCTTAGAAAGAACATTGTTCACCAAGTTCTTCATTTCCTGTACCTTCTCCTTGGCCAGGAGCCAACCCTTGGATTCCTGAAGCTTCCCCAAGTCGGCGGTCAGTTTCTGAACGACAGCTGACAAAAACAGTTGCCATTTAGTGTTGTGCATCACTTATGGAGCAGTGACCATGAACCAGACACTAGGTAAGACTATTTGCCTATGTTATTTCATTTACTTTTCATAACAACCCAAATGAGGCAGATATTGTTATTATCTGCATTTTCAGATGAGGAAATAAAAGATCAAAAGGTTAAGAAATGTGCCTCAAGTCATGTGGCTGGGGAGCCTTTGTTCCTTCCATGCTGCCTTCATGCTAATATATACTAATCATTCATAAACAAAAGCAATCAATTAACCAGGCAATTCATATTGCTTGTACACCAGCTTCTAGTAGTGACTTGAGGGGGTTGTCTATTGCTCTAAATGAGATGTTCATGCAAGTTTGAAAAACTAGGTCAAACAGAATGAGAGAATAAGAAATAGAAAATCTAGAATCAAACAAAAAGTATGATTCCAACTCATAAAAGTGGCAAATGGGAGTCCCAGGATGACAGCTTTGCAGCAGGCCCTGAGAACAATAATTCATACAGGAGTATGAAAACGAAGTGTCTTAATGGAAGGGCTCCAGAGAAAAGAGGGATTAGATAGACATGGCAGATGTAGAACAGTGCATATGCAAAGAATTAAGGATATGTGTATAGAAAATAATTCAAGTGAAAAACAAGGCAATTATTAACTCAAGGAAAAACAAAGGCTGTACAAGAGAAGAAATGTAACTATGGTTCTGCAACTTGGCTCTACAATGAATGGTATCTACCTAGTTATAATGATATAAGAAACAGAGACTACCAATTTCAATAAAAGTATTTTTGGTCCTATAACTCATTAGGTGGCCTTGATCCAGACACTTCTGTTTCTGAACTCAGTTTTCTCAGCAGTGAAATTAGAGAGTGGGTCCCTTCTATACCTTTGAAGCTCTAAACCCTAACAAGGTTTGAAAGGTAGCCATTTGTAGCATTTACTTCCTCCTATAATGTTTCAAGAAAATGAAAAGAAAGCCAAATGCTTTTAAGAAATCAGAATAAAAAAGAGACATGATTAAATATAAAGCTAGGTAGCTTTAAAGCTACCTAGGCTTAGGTATAGCTAATTTCCTTAATTTCCAATGAATTAATACATATCAATAAGAAAATTGAACAACCTAGCAGAAGAATATGCTATGAATATGATCAAAATATTTATGCTAAAATATATAAATAGCTAATAAAATATGAGAAAATGAGTGAATTCTTTCATAATTAGAGAAATGCAAAGTGAAATGAGTTCTAACCTTTTATCTATAAGATTAGCAAAACTTTTAAGTTGCCCATAGCAGTGCTATCAAGAGAGTAGAAAAAAAGACACTCTCCCAAAACTTTTGGAGAGAATGTTAATGTAGGGAATTATTTGTCAACATCTCCTATAATTCAAAATGTGCATACCTTTTGAACTTTTGAAATCTCAGTTTTAGGAATTTATCCTCTGCAGATATTAGGAAAAAATTTGCCATGATATAATGTATAAGAGGATATTCATTTGAGCATTGCTTGTTCCCCGAAAAATAAGTGAATGAACCAGGAACTGAATAGCCACCTTTCTCAGTAAACCACCCATAAAGAGCAGCCCCTGGTGGCAGCCTCTGGTAATGCAGACATAGCACTCGGGAGGCAAGCTCCTAGGTGCCACTGATCATCACTTGTTGACTCACATCCAAGTGTATTGTCAACGGTCTCAAGTCCTTTCTCAACAGCAGGTTTCAGTTTGTTCACAACATTATTCTGGTCGTTGCCAAGACTTCCAAGAAGAGACGCTGAGGTCCCGGTGAGCAGACCACTTGGAGAGCCCCTCACCCATGGAGGAAACTGAGGCCCAGAGAAAGGGGATGGCTTGGCCAGGCCTTACACAAACAGGAACTGGGTGTTTGGGTCCCCAGGGAAGGTCCTCCCACCCCTGTCACACTGAGGCTAGCTGGCGGGACAGGAGAGGCTTTGAGCTTGAATGTCCTGTTTATCACCTTGGCCTCTGCTATTTGAGTTGTTTGTAATGCCTGCTGCATTGGGCCTGTGTCAACCCGGAACCGGCCACAGGCAACGCCAATGTGCCATTTGGCATGAGGCTGGGGAGCCCTGGCAGAGGGCTCAGGAGCATCCTGTGCATGGTACCTCTGCTCCCTCACCTGCAAGTCAGCAAGGACCCGGCGGGCCTGTCCTTCACGTGGACGTGGCCTGGGCAAGGCGGGGGTTAGGACTGGTGGCTCGGGAGCTAGTTCTGCTCATGTTGACCGTGGCTCCGCCACGAGAGCACAGAACAGGAAGAAGCTGGCAGCCCGGGTCCCCAAGCCTGGCGCTGGGACCTGGAGAACCCCTCTAGGAGAGCCTTGCTGGGTGGACTTGGACCAGTCATCAGACCCCCCTCCCTGGCTGCCTGGCACCTAGTTCCACAAACATCTAGCCCCGCTTCCTCCGGCCACGGGCTTGGAGCTGAGGACAGTGCTGAAAACTCTGAGGAGAGTTTTTCCCGCCACGAACACACAGCCCAGACCTCAGGCCTGGCACTGGCCCATGGACATCAAAAGCGTGCCGAGGGGACGCCGAGGATGGTGGTCAGAGCCTGACTCCGGGCTTGGGCAGGCCTGGGTTCAAATCCTCTCTCTCTTCCTGTCTCTGGCTGAATGGCCTGGACAAGGGGTGTCACTTCGCTGAGCCTCAGGTTCCTGATCTGTGACATGGGACTAACAGGCCTTACTTCCAGGTGCATTGTGAGGATGAGGGTGACCCGTGTGGAAGGGTTAGCACGCGGTAGGCCCTTGACCCATGATGATCGTAGGTCTTGCTGGTCTCTGGTCACTCCACTGCTCCCCACCTCAGTTTCCCCACCCGCACAGAGCCCTGACCCCATGGCATCACGGAGAAAATGAAATGAGACAGTGCATCCGAGACAGTGCGCTTAATGCTCAATTAATGGCAACTGTGCTCCTGATCTTTGTGGGCCGTGAAGCCCTGAGGAGCGAAACAGGGTGTGTGTCTCAGGCTTTCCCCTTGCTGACTGTGTGAGAGCAGACAGGCGCCCTCGCCTCTCTGAGCCTCTGGTTTTTACCACAGAATGAGAATTAGAATGGTCTCTACCTCAGAAGAGCCGCTGCGGGGACCATGTGCAGAGATGGGAGTGGAAAGCCCAGCTCGGCTCCCGCTGGAGAAGGTGCCCCGTGCATCCCAGTCACCGTCATCGCCATCACCATTACTGCAATAAGCAGGGAAATTGGGAGGGTGACAAAGGACACAACGGGCCTGGGTTCAAATCCTTGCTCGGCTGCTTCCTAGCCCTGCGCCCTTACCCCCTCAGCTTACCCTTACCCCCTTACCCCCATCTGTAAAGTGGGCGCTTGTAGTGTCAGACCGGTCTGAGGAGCGGATGAGGTCCCACGGATACGTCCCGTGGGTGCTTTCTAATGGGAGGAAGCTTCCATGGAAGCTCCAGGAGGCGGGGATTCTGTTTTGTTCCCTGCCACGTCCTCAGTGCCACAAAGACCCCTTGTTGAAGAAATGTTCGTTGAGTTGCTGCTATAATTTCTACACACAGGTCAGGGGCTTTGTCCCCAGGTGGCTTCCCAAGGGAGATCCATGGCGCCCTGTCTCTAGTACTTTCCACACGTATCTGCCTCTCTGCAGATGTTACGGTACAACCCACTTCTCCTTTCTCTCTCTGGCTCCCACTTGCTCCTGGTGACCCTGGGTCTGGGAGGTGGCCCGGAGCGTGGGCTTGGCTGCCCAGGCTGACTTCTCCCCTCAGCTGTGGCCTCGGGCATCCCTGGCCCCTCTGAGCCCGTTTCTCCGCTCTGGGGGCTAGTGCCAGGCTCAGTGCTGCCACAGTCCGCTGTGCCATGACAGGACGTCAGTGTGGGGTTGGCACAATGCTGGGGTGCCGCGTCACTGCCCCCTTCCACCCCAGCAGACACCCTCCAAACCCCCCAGGCCGTGAGTGTGAGGGGGCACGGGAAGGGTCTTCGGTGGCGGGTGGGGAGGTCGGTACTCTCAGAGGTCATCTGAGGTCCAGGCCCGTGCGCCTGGGTCATCCCGGAAAGAGAAGAGGTGACATCCTGCCACATTCTCTCCCCTCTCCCGGGTACAGTTAGTTGGTTCTCCTCGCATGGCAAGTATTTGCCTTTTGGGGACAAGAGCCCCAGCCTTGAGGGTCGTGGGATGAATTTCTCATTGAAAATCTCCAGCGAGGCATTAAGGATTAGCTGTCTCAACTCTGGGACATGCTACCTCGGTGAGACTACTAATCCCCATTGTGGCAGCTTCCTGGTCCCACTGACCCAGCCCTTAACCTCTGAGCGGCTATCTTTTTCCAAACACGACTCAATTCCCTGGCAAGAAAGGTCCTAAAAGGTCATCCAGCCTGCTGAGACCAGAGAAGGGGGGGGGTGGGGCGGAGGGGGCAGAGGGGGGGGGGGGGGGGGTGCTGGGCTGAGGCTTTGCCCACCAACTCCCCCCACTACGGTGGATCACTCTCAGGTGACGGTGGGTCACTCTCACCCACTGAGTGAAGTTCCTTTATTTTACTGTAAAAAGGCTGAAAGGATTGTCACTTTTTCCTTTGAAATCAGGTACGAATAATTCATCCAATTCATAAGAGGCCCCAGTTTCCCACACTTGACCTGCTCACTCAGGAATTCTTGGCAAATAAGAAAGATCCGAGTAACAAATGTTTTCCGACACATCGTCATTGTCATGACTGTTACACATAACAATGAATAAAGTTGTCACGATGTTAGAGTCTGAAGACCTTTAACTATACATGTTGCAATGTTGACGTTGCTGTTTTTCTGATTTTAGAGACGACGCATTTTGGTTTTCCAGCTCTCATTTTCCTCATTCATTTGTTCATTTACTCATTTGTTCATTCATTTAACGAATGTAGATTGTTGTGAGCTGGGACCACTCTTCCATTTGATCACCATCTGTGGGGCGCCTCCTGAGTGCCACGCCCTGTGTTAGAGTCTGAGACGAACTTGCCCCAGAGACGGGCCACCCTCCAGGGCGGTGGCTGAGCCCCGGCCATCAGCTCACGAGTGTAGGAAAGCATAGTCTCCTGCTTGCTCACTCCCCCAAACAACCAGAAGCAGGTGCTATTTTGTTCCCATCTTATAGACAAGGAAACCGAAGCACAGAGAGGCAAAGTGAATTGCTCAGGGTCACACGCGTAGAGCGAGTGCTGGGGATCTGCGCCCAGGGGGCCTGGTCCCAGAGTCCATGCTCAGAGTCTCTGGCGCTACACGCTCGTTTATATCCTGATAACTGGCACCCCCTTGGCCTGTGGGAGCCCTTCAGGGGTAGGAAGCACTCTGATCGGTCTCTGCTTCCCTCACACCACCCAGCCCAAGGTCAGTGTCAGAGGAAGCACCCCATAAAAGTGTGTGAGTGGAAGGAATGTGTGCGAGCTCTTTCTCCTTTGTTAGATTGGAATTCCTTTGTGTCAGGGCTCAGGGCTCTGCCCTCTTTGTCTCTCCAGCAGCCAGCCTAGGGCCTGGCTTGTGGTGGGTCCCTATAAACACTATATTGAATGAAAGTGCAAAGAACACGTTAATTGACAGGCTGACCAACTGGCTGAATAGATAAATGTAGGGGATGAGATCCCAGAGTCCAGCGAGAAGATTCTAGAATCCTATCCCTCTCTCCCTTTTCCCATCCAGCCTCCCAACCCTTCAGCCATCCACTCATCCCATCATCACATGTTTATGGAGCCTCTATTCTGGCTCTGCCCCATGCCAGGCTCTGGGCCCCAGGGAGCACTCATATGTGCATCTACCCTCGGACACCACCAGCACAGGGTAGGGGCAAACATAGACACCAAGCAGGTAACATGCTTGAAAATATTCTGTCCTTTGAAAACCCTACAAATGGTCAGAATTTTTCCTCTTGGGGCTTCACTGCTGCCCCTAGCGCAGAGCCCGGTCCTGATGAAGGCCCTTCATAAACACCAAATTGGGTTGAACTGAGCACTTTGGGACTTGAAAGAGGAAATGATAAGACGTTATGATATAGGTGGGGACAGATAAGACAGAAGACAGATGTTGGCCTCATTTCCAAATCTGGGGTCGCTTTGAGTATGTTTGTCTTGCTGGGGCTTTTAGTAATTAACCAGACCTCAGTTCAAGTCCTAACCCTCCTACTTCCTAGGTGTGTGACTTAGGCAAGTTACATCACCCCTCTGAGCCTCCAGTCCTCATTTGCAAAATAGAGATCAGGAAGGCCGGAGGGTGGGCAAAGGGGCAGGGTCTCCATCCTGACCCTGCTTTTTACCAGCTGTGTGATTTTCAGCAGGGCAAGCCAGTACTCTGAACCCCCTCTCTAAAATCAGGTGCCGATCCTGGCGAGGAGGGACTGGGGGGACATTAAGTTGAAGAAGGCAGAGTTTGGGAGCAGTAGGGGGTCGCTGCTCAAGTAAACGGGCAGGACAAAGTATGGAGAGACTAGCAGAGCTTCCTGCCTTTCCTCCTGGGACTCTAGTCTAGTGGGATCTCCACGTCTCCCCATTCTCAGGCTCTCTGACTCTTCTGGAGCACCCCCAGGGCCTCCTCTTTGGCCTCCTGGACCTGCTTTGCATCACCTCCTCCCAGTGCCCAGAGCCAGGTCTGAGGATGTCACACCCCGACAGGTCTCCCCATCCTTCAGGGTGCCTCTTCTGTGAAGCCCTCACTGGCTCATGCTGGCCCTGCTCACTTTCTGCCCTGTAGGTTTTGAACAGGGCTCTTCCTTGCACACACACACACACACACACACACACACGATTGTCAACTCGGTGAGGCCAAGGTCTGCCTGGGATTC